ACAGCAAAAGAAAGGTTAATGGGCCCCCCCCCCCCCCCCCGAAGGACGTCCTTATGCACGACCCAGAACCTCCCAAAACACACATTAGCCAAGTGGGTCCCAAATGAGGGAGAGAATGACAAAAGTATCCTTTTCTTTTTTGTTTAAACACCATCCCTTGGGTCCCAACATTTTGGTGCCTTTAGATATGATTTTGGATATCATTTGTCCAAAAAAAAAAAAAAATCTAATTATTAGGAATGGTACCAAAATTACATTAACATCATCCAACTTCTCTTGAAATCATAATAACACTCTTTTAATGAATAAATACTGAAGAAAAATATCCCAATGAGCTCTCTTTTGTCAATCAAAAGTAATAGACTATGAATTATATTAAAGATACTAATTTCTATCTCAACTACTGACGGAACCAGAATTCTTTAATAGTGGGGCCAATAACTAAAAAAATGATAAGAATAAGATTTTAGGATTAATTTTCTAATATTTAGTGGGGGCTTTATGCATTTATATAACTTGAGGGGGGACTTGAGCCTCCACCAAACCCCACCTCCTTTAGTCTATGATCTCAACTTCATGTATGAACTGATATGACATATAATTTATTATTTTTACATAGGTGGGTGTTTAAATATTGACACGTTAATTAATGATAAAAAAATTATATTTACCAATAAAAAAATGACAACTTACATGTCATAATATTTGATACACAAACATCAGGATTAGAGTTGATATTCTTAGCAACATTAATAAAGTATTATTAATAAAAAAAGTAACGAAATATTTTCTTAGCGTTATATTTTTCCTTAAAATACCCGGTAACAGTAAAATATATACAATCATACATACACCCACGATTCATAAAAAAAATAAATAAATAAATACATACAATTACATACATATTTGCAGCCCCCTAATGTGATTTAAGCAACATTTTCACATATTTTTAACATAATTTTATCAAAGTTTCAGCAGTCTTTTACTAATTTGAATTGTTTTCGGGAAGAAATCATCGGAAATTCATATATTTCGATCTTCATTTTCTCACCTGTTAACGTGAAAAATTGTACCAAGTTTAATATGAGTCTCATAACCAAATCCACAAATAAAAGTATCCTAAACCCCAAACCAAAAGACCTTAAAGAAGAACTAGAGGTAAACTTCTTGGCATTCAACAACAATGATAAGGGTAGCGACGGGGCTCGCGGGTGTGGGGCACTGGGTCAATGGGGCTTGCCGTTGGGGGGGCATTGGTGTAACGAGGGGCGCCGGGAAGGGGCCGACACGGGTTGCGTGGGGAGGGCAAGCAAAGGCTGTTTTCCTTTGATTTTTCTTTAGGCATTCATTTTTATTTTGGGATCAGGATTTCAATTGTTCACGTGGATGGTCCACTTCTATTGCTTTATCACAACAACAATATTATATAACTTATAAGTTAGGGTGTGAGTGTAATTTTTCTCTAAAAAAAAAAAAGAAAAATTAGAAAGAAAAAATAAAAGAAATCTTATGAAGGGCTGAGATTCAGTGCTCCAGTTCCATAGGTAGAGATTTGCACCCTCATTTCTATGGTCCCTTCAAAATTCTAGTGCAGTATATCTTTTTGTAAATCCATGTGATTTTGTTCCACAATTTGGGGATACAACTGTATCCAACGGATGGCAACAAGTTGGGTAAGCAAAAAGGGAACAAAAGGGAAAAAGTAAGCAAAAATAAGGAAAAGAAAGATTATAAATGGAATATAAAAATGTCCCACCTAAATTAGATTGACACCTAAATTAGATTGACATTATCATAAGTGATGGTAACTTGTACAAAATGACTTGTATTGGTACAGTGGAAAATTATTCATGTTTTACCAAAAGAAGACCTACTATTAATGTTTGCCCATGATCGATAGACACAAGAAACTACACAAGAATAATCAATATATGGGACAAACACATTTACAAGAGTCAATAGATAATCTCGATCAAGTCATGATATTGATAATGAAATCAGGAAAATAAGAGTAATTACATTTTTCTAATCTTTTCCCCTTTTTTTCTGGAACATGGATCAGACGTTCAGTATAGTATTTTTTGCTAGCAAAATTTTCCAATCGTACGCTTATAAAGAGAAGAAAATTTCGTATAAATTTATCAAAGAGGATAAATCTGCCGTTTTTTGAGGCAAAAAAGGGATAAAGTTTACTAACCAGAATGTTCAACGCCCACAAACACTCGGAGAAGATGTGGAACACTCATGACGCTTTTGCCGCATAAAAAGAAATTGAAAAATCAAAATATCAACGGATAGGTTTTATTAAAGATAGGTCTATTAATATCCACTATTTTAATTTTTACACACATTTTTAAATTACGTCTCATTTTATTTATTACACATTTCTTAAGATTTTAAAATAGTTCATACAATTAAATCAGCTCATATTTTATTTTTTACACACATTCTTAACCACGCTCATTTTATTTGTTACACTTCCTTTTAAATTTCAAAAAGGTTCCTAAGATTAAATTGTATTATTTTTCTTTGATAAAATTAAAAACGTTTATCATTTTCTTTTACTTGTTCACGATAGAAAATGTGCTTTTTCTTTCAAAAAATACTTTATGTGCTTTTATTATGTTTTTACATATTGTTCTTGCAATTTTAATTTTAGAATTGATTGACAATATTTTTGATTGTGGGACTTCAAATTTGCAAGTCTATCGACGGGGTCAGAAAATATTAGGAGATTAGATTAGATATAATGTTTTATCATATTATGTTTAAATTTTTTTTATACAACACGAGATTAAACTTGCAACTCTCATTCAAATTCCACCTCATCTAAATCCTCAGTGCCACTAGATCAAGAGGTCTTAAGCTTATAAGTTTTAATTATTGAGTGTAAAGTTGATATATTATAAAATAGTGACATAACTGAAATTAATAAATTTTACAAAACGTGAATGGGGCATGTGCCCCACTCACACGAGTCTCTTTCACTAAAGTCTTAAAAATACATTTATCATAGATACTCATAAGTATACATATCCATTTTAACTTTTCGAATGGGGAATCCTCGCTTAAACTATTAAGCACTATAGAACTTTGGGATATATATACTATATTATAAAATCTTGGAAAATCCTCACAGATGTCGAAGAGATGGAGTATTATATATACACGTACAGACAGTAGTACTTATTTTATTGCTGGTAGCCATTTGAGAATTTGGCATTTATTGAAACAATTAAGCATTTTTTCTTTTTGAACATTCCAGGAAAAAAAAAAAAAAGAAGAAGTTATGTATGCCACGAAGTTATAGGCTTCGACTACATACGATCTCAAGACTTTGTTTAAGCGAAAATAATAATAATAATAATAATAATAATAATAATAATCATAATCATAATCATAATCATAATAATCATAATCATAATAATAATCATAATCATAATAATATAACAACAACAATAACAACAAAATTATGAGGCCGAAGAGACAGAAATTTATGGTGGAAAGAGAAGATGCAAAGCTGAGGAAAGTGGGGGATGGAAAAACCACCCAAAGTGAGGGGTTGTGGCCCATTAGAATTGCTTTTTTGAAGGGGAAAAAAAAGACACGCTATGTATTGACAAGTTATTCTCTATATAATTGGTTAATGACATTTGGTACTTCATATTATAAAATATTTTTTTGGTGAAAACCATCACCTAATAAATCTAGAAACGTTCATATTGGATCACTAAGAATCAATAGATCAATAAGCGGAAGCGTACCAGAATTCATGACGACTAAATACTTTCTAGAATTGTACGGTTTGTCTTTTAGATCAACACATTTTCCTAGAGAATCCTTCTCACTGTTCTCTCTCTGATGATGGGATGTCATAAAAAAATAGAATGTAACGTTTGATCTGATGATCGAAGGGAAAAAAAAAAAGACGCACTATGTATTGACAAGTTATTCTCTATATAATTGGTTATTGACATTTGGTACTTCATGTTGTAAAATATTCTTTAGTGAAAACCATCACCCAATAAATCTAGGAACGTTCATATTGGATCACCACGAATCAATAGATCAATAAGCAGAAGCGTACCAGAATCCATGACGACCAATTACTTCCTAGAACTGTACGGTTTGTCTTAGAGAATCCTTTAGCTTTCTCACTACTCTCTCTCTCTCTCTCTCTCTCTCTCTGATAATAAGATGTCATAAAGAATAGAATGTAACGTATGATCTGGGGACCATAACCGCTATATAAATAATTTTCCTGTTATCTTTTGGTATTTCTATTTTAGCAC